CACATGACTCCCTCTTTCACTTTCTGCACCTTCTCACTGAGGCATTTCCTGGACATCCTATCTAAAATTACAATCCCGTCTCTCCATACCAACCATCCTATCTCCCCCACCTGCCTTGCATCTTGAGCAGTGGCTGGCACAAAGTAGACTCTCAGAAAATATTAGTCCAATGAATGAAGGTAATTAGTGGTAATAAGAAGAGTTACCTCTTAGGTAAAAAGGTAGGAAGAAAGCAAATGAGATAAGTACTTTGTACATGTTAATGAACAATAACTGTTAGTTATTCACATTCATATCCTATACCCTTGTGGATCTGTTGGAAATAATTTTTAATCAGGAACTGCAAGAAGGGAAGGAGAATTTCTAGTTAAGAGGGACGGTGTAGAAGTATATGGTTTTGCACACCAGCCTCAGGCAAGGTAAAGACAGTTGCTGGAAACACTTGGAGTTTGGCCCAGGTAACCAGCTAGCACCCTGCCCTGGGGTGTGAGGAGAAGAAATAGGGTGGGAGGCAACTGGGACTTGTGTGAATGGGTCTGTTGGGTCTGCACACAATCTTCGGATGACTCAGTGTGAGACTTCCAGACTACAGACTGCCATGTCTGAGGCCCACCTTGAGCATCCCTAGAAGCTTGCAGCTTCCCAGGCAAGAGGCAGGGCTTCCGGGATCTGTGTGTGACTGAATGTGCAAACACTAAAGTAACAACCTCTCTAAGACAGGGAAAGGGACTGCTGCACATATTCACACCCTCTTTAATAGGATGCTTTGCCTCCAAAGTGCAGATTGTCATGGCAGGTAACAACCCCAGGATCTCCATTAGGCTCCCTGGTGTCACACACAGCAGTGTACAATGGTTTTTTCAAGCAAAAATTAGTTCACCTACATTCCCAGGATAATGATAATTTACAAAAAACATCTTAAGGTTAAAATGTAATTTTTTAAAAGGCAATCTGATTCTTGAAGCTATAAAGAACACACAATTCTCCCAAACCTTCCTATCCAGATATAGTTATTTGATTAGCTGGTATAGACAAAGTTGATGAATAAAATTCCTTTGTAAATCATATCACCTTTGGATTTTATAACACAAAGTTGATTTCCATGGATTTTCCCTAGACTTCACTGAGTAACTTCCTATTCCTCTATTAAACAGTCCTGGGAAGAGAAGCAAAGAAGCTATGCTACTGCTCCTTCTAATGGCATGGGAAGATGCAGAGGGAGTTACTGTGACATCATCACCCATGTGATGATGTCAGATAATCCTTCTAAACCTCCTCCAGTTTCAGATGGGGTATAGAGGTATCTCTATACCACATGCCTCACCATTTCTCCACAACTTGTAATTGGTTTCCCACATTGAGTTTGAACTTTGCTTGCTACCCAAGTGCAGATGTAGCCAAGGACCTCTGAGCTCATCTTGTTTAGAGTGGAGACCTTGGAGTCTCTATACTGGAGTGCAGGTTATTCCTGGGCATAGGTATGCATAGATATGCATGTATATTTAAATACGTACATACGCTATATATATGTGTGTATTATGAGAGAACAAATAAATAGAAGATGATGGGTCCTGAAAGGAAAGAAGCAAGCAAAGGCATGAGAAGGGAGTGGGAAGGAATTAGCAGGTGTTAATTCCTAGGATGACCCAGACACCCAGCAAAGAAGGCAGTGTGAGGGACGGAACAGGGCTATGCAATTATCTAGATGTTAAAGAACGAACTTGTAACAGTCTCCCTCCTTGAAAGAGAGTGCTGTGAAACGAACCTGGCAGCCCATCAGGGAGCACTTGTCAAGGCATTCAGAGGGAGAACAGAGGCTGGAGGGCACTGATTTGGGCTTTGTCTCCCCTAGGTGCTGGGCTGCTATCTTGCCATGAGTCGAGTTATCTCTGAAGTTCTGCTGAGCGGTCTCGATAGCATGGCTTAAAAGTACAAGTCCCTACAGGAATTAGCTTCCCAGCATACAAATGCTCAGAGAATGAGAAGAGTCCAGGAAAAACCAACCCTTTAAGCCCTAGAGGATGCTAACAGTCTTCAAAATGATAAGGATCCTAGAAGACTATGCATTGGAGGTTCTTGGATTTGGTGTCTTTTTTTTTTTAATTTTTTTTCCCTTTGGGTTGATTTCCTTTATTTTACTTAGAAGCCATCCACCACCTGAAGTGAGGGGCAGGGAGGAAGAGTGGCCTGGTAGAGTCCCTGAGCGGGTATAGGCAGAATCAGGACCAACTGAGCTTGGGATGTGACAGATAGTAATGAGAAGAACCACTATGGAGAGCTTGAAAGCAAGCCCTCGGGAACTCCTGCTTAGGAAATCCTGGCCAATTACAGGTTTCTCTTGGATGTCCCTTTGCTTTCTCTACATCTCAAGTTTCAGCATCATCAGGTTTATTAGAGCAGCTTCTCTGCCTTCATTTGGATTTGAGGAATCATTCAATCTAATTCTTCACCAGTCCTTATGTGTTAGTAAGCTTTTCATTGCTGTAACCAAAATACCTGGCCAGAACAACTTAGAGGAGGATAGGTTTATTTGGGGATCACATTCTCAGAAGTCTCAGTCCACAGACGGCAGACTCCATTGCTCAGGGCCCAAGGTGAGGCAGGACATCATGGTGAAAGGGCATGGTGGGGAAGCACTGCTCGATTCATGGCAGCCAGGAAGCAAAGAAAGGAAGAGGGGACCACAGACCAGATGCACCCTTCCAGGGCACACTTCCAGTGACTCAGCACCTCCAGCCATGCCCCACCTGCCCATAGTTACCACCCAGTCAGTCCATTCAAACTAGGCTGGACTGATTAGGTTATAGCTCTCAGAATCCAATCATTTCACCTCTGAACTTTCCTGCATTAACACAGGAGCTGTGGGGGGATACCTAAAATCCACACCATAGCATGCTATATCCCTACTCTATGCCACGTAACTTTTCAGTGCCCTTCCAGTGTGGACTGGGAATCTGCTTGGCCTCTTGACTTTGAACTCAGCCACATGATTTTCTTTGGCCAATAGGATATTTAAGAGATGTCATGTGGGCAAATGGTTGAAATGAACTTGCTTCAACAATGGGGCATATTCTTCAACCAGAAAAATAACAGGCACAAGACAAAGGTGCCTCAGTCAAGCTTACCCTAGAATAGAGCCTCGGACAAACCCACAGACACACAAATAAGCTCAGTTGATACAAGCAGAGCCACTAAGTCCAACCCTGGTCAAAATGTCTGAGTCTCGTGGGTGATAAATAAATGTTTAATGTTGAATACCACTGATGTTTATGATTGTTTGTTACACGGCAAATGCTAACTGATACAAGAGCCTGTGATTCATGTTCCTCATGTCTTCCAGAGTGATATGTTTAAAATGGAACTCCAGCTATCCTAAAATTATTCTGCCTAAGGACCTTTAAAAACATCATGTTTGTTACTATCGCTCTGTAATATAGTTTAAGGTCTAGTATAATGATGCCACCTGCTTCACTCTTCCCGCTAAGGATTAAATTGTAATGCATTCCACTGTCATTTATTTTTTTTAAAAAAATCAATAATAATAATAAACAAAACAACAACAACAACAAAAACACATCACGTTTGAGCTGAATTGTGCTGCCCCCAAATTCATATGTTGAAATTCTAACTTTCAGAACCTTGGAATGTGATCTTATTAGGAAATAGGTAACTAACAAATGTAATTAGTTCAGATGAAGTCATATGGAAGGAGGGTGGGTCCCAGACCCAACATAACTGGTATCCTTATAAAAAGGGGAAATTTGGAGTTAGGCACACAGGGAGAATGCCACGTAAATATGAAGGTCAAAGTTAGGATGATGCATTTATAATCCAAGGAACATCAAAGGTGACCAGAAAACCACCAGAAGCTAAGGCAGAGATAGTCCAGATTTCCCCTCACATCCTTGGAGGGAACTAATTCTGCCAACACCTTCATTTTAGTCTTTTGGACTCGAGAAGTGTGAGACACAATACATTCTTTACATTCTTATTAATTATGCTACTCCCCATTAACTGTAGGATAACATTCTTCCCAAAGTATGTGAGTCCTTTTATAAGTTGGTCTGTGGCTCTATCTATGGGCTCTCCTTTCTGAATCCCCCTTGACTCAGCCTCACCCTAAGCACCAGCCACACTGAATTATTTTCAGAGCTTCAGTCAGAGACTTTGTCCCTGTTGATCCCTTGGCCTCAAGTGCCCTTCTTGCTACCTTTCGCCCCCTGCTGGACCCCAAATCTTTATCTCAGTACTTTAGTTTGCTCAAGGTTGGGCATTATCTCTGGCAACTTTCTCCTGATTTTCCAGTCCTTAATGGAAGATGCCCTACTGAATGTTCTCAAACACTCAACACAGATGTTTCGATCACAGTCCTTAACGCTGGATTCTTGTTCATTTCACACCTTCATCCTCATCAATAGACTGAGGAACTTCTTGAAGGCAGTCACATACTGTGTTTGTATCCCTAGTACCTAGCAGAATGCTTGGCACAAAGTGCTGTGTAAATAATGTTTATGGAAGGAATCTATGTATGCTCACATGCAAATAAACCAAACAGATGTGTTCTCAGAATAAAGGAGATACATTCTGCTGGTGAGACAACTGGCAGTTGAATTTGCTTAGAAGCGAAAGCACTCAATTAAAGACCAAACATCACTTCCGTATTCTTCCTCTCCTCCTCTCTCTATAACTACCCAATCTCACATGCTTTATAATGCTTTTAGATGTAAGTGACTGTGAATTATTACTGACGGTAGGCCTTTCATCTTTGAGACTGACAGTCTATGTTCCCCATCTCTCAGGAGGAAGAGACTATTATAATTGTATTTTTTGCTTACCAAGAGAATTGATAATGGTTATCCTGGAGGGGAAAAAAAATCTATAATATCCAACCTGTAATGAAGCCTCAAGCTTACTTTCTTCTTCACTAAGGAAATTCTTTCTGAATGCACAACCATTACACTGACAAAGAGACAAAGCCTGTAATGAGTTTTTTCTTTTACCTGTTTAGTCCTCATTTTGGAATCTGACGACAGGTTGTTGTAGGTATAGTGTGCCTGTGTGACTCCACAGAAGAGAACAGCAACTATCCCTGAAATTCAAAAAGAGACCAGTCAAAATTAATTGTCTTTCCCATCTAAGTCAGAAGGTAGGGCCCTCCCAGTTGAAAGATAGACTTTGGTGCCAGTAGAGTCAAAACTCTTAATAATGACCACGATAATGAGACCCAGGTCAATCTCACCACCTGCTTCAAACACGAGTCTTGCAGGCTTACACATGAAGGAAGGCACTATGAAGTATTCCTAACAAAAATGAAAAGCAGATTCCTCTTGGAGATTAAGGACTCCCTGGTCATGAGTTGCAAAGTTATCTTGGAAACACATGAACAAAAGACAGTGTAGTCACCCCTGGGCTTCTTGTAGCCAGTGCCAATTACTTTGCTGAATTTTATGTTAAATATTGATATCTTCTCTCAGACATTTGCTTTCCACTGTGTACCTTGGAGAGCCTGAAAAAGGTCCTATCATGCCATAATTTAATATTAAAAGCCATGAGTCACAAGCCTAAGTCAACAAGGGTTTTGTGGCTCCTGCCAATGCTCCCACTTGCCAAGCAAGAGAGAGAAGTCCTATGTGTTCCTTCGCCTTTTTGGCAAAGCTGGGTGCCCTGTCTTTCGGCAGCTGAATAATCTCAGGCACACCCCCGTCCCCCCACCCCCCCCCCCCCCCGCCCAAGACCCACACTCCTTGAAAGTAAGCTGGTTGTTTTTATGTCCCCAGCAGCAGTGGGCCATCAGCTAGCTGTAGTGTTCATTTCTTAAATTGCATTCTACTCAGCTTTTAATACTGTAGAAGACAGTGTGCACTAGATGGTTCTTGGGTACACAGGGATAGCAGTGATGAGACAAATATGTGATTTGTCCCAGGAATTGTTACTCTCTCTTTTTTTTCCCCTGGGCTGGATTGGGGAAGTGATGGAAGCCATGTTCCCTTTTGGATTCAAGATTAGATTAATGATGGGAAATTGGGCCTAGAAGAGGGCTTTGGAAAAGATGCAAGAAGCAAGTATTCCTCAACTCAGACCAAGGGGATTGGGTTTAATTTTAAACAGCGGAATCTTTCCATCTAAAAACACTCATAAATTAAATGCTGATGATTCTTAAGAGCACAGAGATGTGTGAAGTGAGTACTGACATTTCAAATGAATCTGCAATAAAGAATTTTCAAGAACTGAGCTTATCTTTTTTATATGTAAACTGTATGCATCTATTTACATGTTGGTTATTTTTCAAGTCAGCACTGGATAAAATATTGCTAAGACATATTTACATAATACAAACACATAGACATTTACATTACTTATTTGCTCCTAATACCATGCTTCCAAATTTTAGATAAAAGAATAAAAATAAGTAGGAAATACATATTCAGTGAACATTTCTAGAGATTTCAGTTTCTTAGCATCTCTTCATAAATTCTAAGGAAAAAAATCTTATAAAATATTATATTTCCCTCTTCACAGAATTTCTATTAAAAAATACTGGGGAAACTTTGGGGGGTACTGAAGCACTTTAAATACTTTAAGGGACTAGGAGGATGACCGTGTGCCTTGTTTTGATAGCAAATGTTTCCCTTTGTTTTAAAATGTAATTTATCTACCTCTGTCAAATGTGTTCAAAGTCTTCTAGATGAGGGTTGCTGACCTTCTCACTGCTGCGGAACTGTTTTGACTACATATTGATCTGTGAAGAGGTAGAGAATGCAAGGGCAGGTTTGCAGGGTGGTGAGTAAGAGTAACTTTGTTCTGAGATCTGAGAATAAGGATGAATGTTCTCTCTGATATGCAGATGCTGACTCACAATAGGTAGGATTGTGGGGGTAGTGGAGGTTCACCAGATTGGACTGGGGCAGGGAAAGGGAGGAGGTATGGGGAATGGGAAGGACAGTAGAATGAATCAGACATCACTTTCCTGTGTTCATCTATGAATACACGGCCAGTATAATTCCACATCATGTACAACCACAAGAATGGGAAGTTATACTCCATGTATGTATAGTGTGTCAAAATGCGTTCTAATGCGTTCTACTATTACGTATAACTAAAGTGAACAAAATAAAAACCTTAAAAAAATGAAAGAAGGGATCACCAGAGTTGCAGAGGGAAGAGGAGGGCTGAATAGGTACTGTGGGCTGAACTAGGCTGGCTGCATTTACATCTTCCTTTTTCTTTTCTTTTCTTTTTTTTGTTTATAGATACACATGACAGTAGGGTGTATTCTGACATATTATGCGTACATGGGGTGCAACCCATTCTAGTTAGGATCCCATTCTTGTGGTTGAACATGATGTGAGGTCACCCCTTCCCTTCATTTCCCTTTGTCTAATCCAATGAACTTCTAATCTTCCCCTGCCTTGTTGTATGTCAGCATCAGAGAGAACATTTGACCTTTGGTTTTTAGGGACTGGCTTATTTCACTTAGCATGATATTCTCCAGTTCCATCCATTTACCAGCCAGTGCCATAATCTCATCTTCTTAATCACTGCCTAACTTTATCATCTCACAACAGGTTTACCATGATTAACCAGCCCCTCCCACGACCTTGGGCACAGCCCTTGCCGCTCAGGCCACAACTGTGGGACCACCCTTCACCTCTCCTCTCACGGTGAGTCAGCAATTTTGTTGGCCTGTCCTCTCACATTTACTCTGAGCTCAGCCACCTTTCAACACCTCAAACCCTTAACATCCTTTTCTAAGCTGCCATCATTTTTGGCCTGGATTATGGAAATATCTTCTTAACTAGACTCCCTGCCTTCTCCAGTTGGTTCTATTCGTCACCCAGAAATATTTGGATCATGTCAGCCCTTGGCTCAAATCTTTGCCATGTTTTCCCAGGATCTGGGCAGGCACTATTCTCCCCTCTCTGTAATTCCCGGGCCCATCTCTTACCACGCTCCCAGCCTGGCACTATCTTCGCCAGCTTGTTCCATCACAGAGCTGCTGCTCTCCCAGGTCCCAGTAGGTGGAAGGCTGTCCTCCACAGTGTCCCCTCAGATGTTATGTTCTCAGGCAAGCTTCTCTATTCACTCTGTACAAATGACTCCTCATGGTTCCCTAGTCACCTATCCTGCTGTTTCCCCATATTATTTACCGCCACCTAATATGGTCTCTGTTTCTGTGTTTACTGTTTGCCTTCCTGCACTGAAATACAGATCTCATTAAGGATAGAGGGATTCCCTAACCCTGAGAACGGTACCAGGCACATGGTAGGCGCTCCAGGAGTACCTGTCCAACACACAAATGAACGTTTTCCTTTGCTCTTAAATGAGAAAGACACTGATGTAATCTACTCAAGGTCACCTTGGAAGTGGCAGAGCCGAGATTCAACGTTCCACAGACTCTCTGTGCTTTCCTGCCTATATTAGACCATCTGTGAAACTTTAAAGGCCATCTCAAGCCATCAGAAAAACATCATTTTGGATTTCCCGGGGATGGGGTCAAAGATCTGATGATGAAGATGACATATCAGCGCTGACCAGGCTTGTCATTTGAGGAGGTTTTCCCTCAGTTGCCCCATTTGTTTTTCTTTCCTTACTTCTAGTAGAACAGTATGGAGCAATGTTCTGACTAAACACTTCTGGGGTCTTATGTCTATGTGTGCATCATGCAAACAACAAACCATGAGGAGTGAGCCCTGTGTGACCAGAGGCTGAGTATCACAAGAAAAACAAAGCCACCAAGTGGATCTGACCCTTAGGATTAGCATATGTAATCATAATTTTATAGCTTGGTAATTAATTAAATCACACAAATTACTATAATTAGTATGACTTTCACAAGTGCAAACACATTTTGGAAATGTCTCATCTAAATACCCCTGTGACAGTGGTCCCTCCTTATCTGCACTTCCACTTTCTGGGGTTTCAGTTACCCACAATCAACAGAAGCCTGGAAATACTAAATGGAAATTTCTAGAAATAACAACCCATAGGTGTTAAATCATTTCTAGTCTAATATATTGTTTGAATTCTTCTGCTTTATTGTTAGTTATTGCTAATATCTTACTGTTTCTAATTTTTGAATTGGACTTTATCATATGAAAAGATGGATATACACAGGGTTTGGCACTCTTCATGGTTTCAGGCATAGACTGGGGGTCTTGAGACAAACCTTCTGTGGACAAAGAGGACTACTGCATCTATAAAACTCTCTGCCACAGAAACAAATTGAAAGGTGACAGTTTTCTGTCTTTGGGATGTTCTTTTTCGGGGGGTGATTGAACCCAGGGGTGCTTAACCACTAAGCCACATCCCCAATCCTTTTTATTTTTTATTTCAAGACAAAGTCTGGCTAAGTTGCTGAGACTAGCCTCAAACTTGTGATCCTCCTGCCTCAGCCTCTCAAGTCGCTGGGATTACAGGCATGCACCACTGCACCCTGCTAGAATGTCACTTCCACTGTCATTATGTTCTTACATACCCATGCCTAGTACTACTAGCGCTACTGTTATGTGGGCATCTGGATGACTCTCTTAAATGTCCTGGATCTCAGACAGTTACATATAAGAAAGAAAAGGAAGGGGCCAGGTGCTCTCTGTGCCAGTCATCTATTCAAGCTCTGAGCTCCAAACTCACCCTTCTTTCTTGGCTCTGACCCTGGCACTGGAGCTCTACAAACCACATTCTCCTTAGCCAGTGTGGCTGGGCTCTGCCATTGTGCAGCCCTGGAGGGAGACTAGCACCCTGGAGCAGAGAAGGACTCACTTTGCCTCTGTGCCTGCTCTTTGTCAGCTGCACCTCAGCCGTGGGTCTTCGCCATGGTGCTGACAGGCAGATCCAGCCTCTGATTTTTCTGATTTTGTTTTTGTATGTTCCTGCACGTCTAGTCCAGCCTTAATGGCACCCCTCAGAGAAAGCAGCCACAGCCAGGCAGTGTCCTCAGAGGTCTGGATCCCAGCCTCACAATTCCCTTTTAGGAGCTCTCCGGCTGGCTTTCCTTGGCCTCTCTAGTCCTGGGGCTTGGACTGGCTTCTCTCAGTGCCATGGAAGCTCAACTGTGGCCCAACAATCTGTACCAGGCAAGAGAGATTTCTG